TGTGAACAGAATCAAGAATCAAAATATTCCAGTGCTAATCCACAAATTCCCATTCACTTTTTCAAAATATATTCCTCTTTCCCTACAACACTTCCCTTCCTTTCTGGTCTTCTACATTTTTGGAGCTTGGCGATGGTAGTAGAATTTTTTAAATGTGGCAGTTATATATGTATGTGTAGATGTATCAATAGAAAGTTAATAACACCATAGGTTAGAAGATTGTGAAGTTTCAGAATCTTACAAATATGTGCATGTCTCCCTCTTTCCCTACACTTCCTTTCCTTTCTGGACTTCTATAACTTTGTTGGAGTGGTGATGACTCTACCCTAGCATATAATAGTACCATGAATGGTACTATGAATGAACAAGGCCTTTTCTAATTCCTTAATATTCACTTGAGAATAAGGAAATTGCTTCCCTCAAGTCACATTTGCTTTTCTTTGGTCATAAAATACACAACAGCACCATCCTGTGGTTCTTTTCTTTTCAGACTATGGAATAGCTAAGAATGTAAAACTTCGAGAAAATTTAGAATAGAATATAATGCTTTATTAGCCAGATNTCCTATCAGAGGCCACACACCAACCTTCTCTTTTTGCCTCATCTGATCTTAGTCCAGTTTATTCCCCCCCCCCTCCCTAATTTTTAAAGCTTCCAACTTGACAGAAAGGATCCCTTTAAAGGCAGAGGACAAACGGGAAGGGCGGGAGTTCTGCTTCTGCTAAATTTTCTTTCTCGGGGCTTTTTAAAAATGCAGCGGGTTTTTTTTACGCTTCTTTTAGGAAAGTGCTCAATCAAGGTCGGGGGGGGGAGCTGAGGGGCTGCAGAAGCCACGCCAACTGTCCTTACCATCCAATGTGGCTTACTGGCGCGCTCCAGCAAAAAGCGAGGGAGCTCTCAAACCCGCCTCGCGCTTTTTGGAAATGGAGTCCGCCGGGCGCGGTAACTGCGAGGCGGCCTCCAAGAAAGAGTTTGGGTGTGTGTGTGGAGAAAGAGGTAAACGGCCCCCAAGCGATCCAAGATGTACCCCTCCTATCGCAGAGGGGCATGCGTCCCCCCCCCGGCTGCATTTTTTGGGGGAAAAGAGTCAATGGGGGGGGTAAGGGAAATGATCGTCCCCACCCCACCCCCAGAATATTTTTACCCGTAGAGTAGATCAAGGACATGCTGGGAAGCGATGCAGGTTTTCCTATAGGCACCCCCCCTCCCCCGCCAAGACGCGGGAAGAAGCCGATGGGCTTGTTCCGCTGGCGGGACTTTATGCCCGCGTCAGTTTCTCAATCCATGGCAATTTGGGGTGGGGGTGACTTTTCAGTATTGTAGTCCGTATTCCTTCTCCTCTCCCCTCCGACCCCAGAACTGAATACCCCTTATGGGTCAGCCTACTCATTCGAATCTCGTGGTCCTGGGGATCGGAACCTCGTTTTATCAGCAATCCGCTTAGGGCCGCATCATAAACAAGAGTCTCCCGCAAAATAAGTTTCCAACTAACAAGCCCCGGTACCTGAAGTGGCTGGTTTTCTAGCGGGCAATAGCTCTGCTTCCTTTCGCGCTTTCTTCTTCTTCAAAATCAGTCTCGGCTTATTGACTGACCAGTCTCCGTCTGCTCTGGGTGGAAACACTTTTTTTCCGGGCACTTTTAAAAGGTTTAAATCTGGTATCCAAAACCCAAAGAGCCAATTAGGAGGAGCTCTAGCCAGCCGGCAGCCAATCAAGGAGAAGCCAGTGGCGGCGGCCAATGCCGGTTCGCGAGGTGTGCCTTGCCGTTGAAAGGGACTCTTCCCTCCCCCCTCCCATTTTGCCCGCCAGCCTTCAGCTCCAGCCAAGGGATTTAAAAGACTGAAGCGCGCGCGCGGGGAAAAGGTGGAGGAAAAAAAAAAGAGGCCGGCTAGCGCGCGCTCCTTGCCCTCTCTTGCAGGCTTGAGGGGAGGGGGATGGTTTAAGGGTTAGCCACAGAGCGCGGGAGATGCTACGGCGCCTGCCCAGGAGTGAGACAAGGCTCGCGCCCTCTCTCTTGTTCGGGGACGTTCTATTGGGCGTCCATCACCAGCGCGGGGACAGGATGTGGCTACAGGGCGTGAAGGAGGAGAAAAAAAAGAGACCCTGTGGCCGGGTTATAAGGCACCGATGATCCCATCTCGCTCCTTTTAAGTGGCCGTTTATTCGGGCCGCCGTGATTCTTAGCACGTTTTCTAAAGTAACTCAACTTGGGTGGAAGTTGGTGAGATGGAGCTGCCGTCTATTCCGAATGGCACCTGATTTGTATTACAGTAGTCCCTGTAATATCCGAGGACCCCTGTCCTATATATCTTACCCTAAACTTGCAAGAAAATTAATAGTGATTTTTTTATTTATTTCGGGACATAAATAGGCAAGCTGTGGCCATCTAAAGCATTGGACCGATGGAAAGTTCCCCTGTGTTTACCTTACTGTTTGAGCCTTGCATGTTATTTGGAGAACCATGCTTTCCCATTAAATTAAGTAGGCTCTATATGTGACTTTGGAATGATGCACTTATTTCCCACAATTATTTATGGCCTTCAAAGTAAAGGCATTGAACAGAAATGGAAAGACTAACTGGCCGTTCCACGTGTGTAACAAGCCCACAAGTAAAAAGCTACATTCGATAGGATTTGGGCTACTGCTACTGTATTTTCTTCCCTTTGTTTTTATATCATATATTTTAAAGTCCAAAGCTATTTATTTAAAAGCTCATAGGGCAGTGATGGTGAACCTTTTCGGCACCAAGTGCCGGTCCGACGTGCCCTAAAAAGGTGGCTTTTCCAGCAAAACTAAATAAATTGCATTTGCATTTTGCTTTATTTGTATGCCACCCTTTTCCCTGAAGGGACTCAGGGTGGCTCACAACTCAACTTAATTATTTATCATTGTTAATTTTAATCGATTTTTTTTTTTTAAAAAAATGTTAATCCTAATTGGGTTTGTTTGGGATATTTTTTTTTTTTAACTTTTGTAATATGTGTTTTTTTTAATGTTGTATGCCGCGCTGAGTCCTTGGGAGAAGGGCGGCATATAAATCCAATAAATCAAATCCAAACCGGAATGTGTGTGCATGTGTGCGCGCCGGAGTGCCGGAAACTCAAAGACCAACTGGCTGGTGCATGCCTACCTGTTTTTTGGCTGTTTTCAGGCTGCTTTTTGGACCGTTTCAGGCCAATTTTGGAGTGTGTTTTTTGGGTCAAAATGGCTTGAAAAATGGTCCAAAACCAGCCTGAAATGGCCTGTTTATTGGCCATTTTTCGTGCTGTTTTCCAGCGCTCAGGCGACAGCGAGGACCAGCTGGCGATGGCACATGTGCTCCCAGAGAGGGCTCTGTGTGCCACATGTGGCACACGTGCCATAGATTTGCCATTACGGCCATAGGGAGTATATTGGTTAATCTATGAAGAAATCCTATCACATTTAGTAACGTTAAACAGATACCCCAAACTATAAACACTTATGCATCAATTTTTCATTAAAATCTCTTTCGAGATGACCTGGCAATATTATCATTAAGAAATGTCACTACTAAAATCAGATGAATTCAAGGCATATATTTCAGATGTCAACATAGCATACAATTTCTCAATAAAACAAATATAAAATGAGGTTTAAGTGGAACGAAAAAGGGCTTCTAACCAAACTTATTTTCATCAAAGTGAATAACCTCCGTGACCCGTCAAAAGCGCGGAGGACAAAATCGCGCTCGACGAAAGCGCGCATGTGACGTCATCACAGCGCGACGAAAAAAATAAATAAATATAAAATGAGNGACAAGATACATTCATCACGAATCATAAGGTACAACACTTAATGATAGTCATAGGCAGAGGTGGTATTCTGCCAGATTGCCCCGGTTTGGGTGAACCAGTAGCGGCAGGAGGCTTTGTCCAATCCCTCAGATATCATCACACTGGCTTGCTATGACTACAGGTAGTCCTCAACTTACGACCACGGTTGAACCCTAAATTTCCATTGCTAAGCAAGGCAGTTGCTAAGTGAGTATTTTCCCCATAATTGTTTTCCCCATAATTGTTAAATGAATCATGTGGCCATTAAGCAAATCTATCTTTTCCTATTGACTTTGGTTGTCAGAAACCAGCTGGGAAGGTTACAAATGGCGATCACATGACCTTGGGACAGTGCAGCCTTCGTAAATAAATGCTAGTTGCCAAGAGCCTGAATTTTGATCATGTAACTGTGGGGCTGCTACAAGGTTGTTAAGTGTGAAAACCGGTCATAAGCCACTTTTTTCCAGCGGTTGCAATTTTCTCCACAAGAATCCTGTGAGGTTGAATTAGGCTGAGAAAAGTTTAAGACTCTTCCCCTTGGCCAGTTTTTAATCTACATATTGGGTGGTAAAGGAGTAGTTTGTCAGTATGAACTTCCATCCATGTTATGTTTAAGCTTTGGGATAAGAAATAGAAGGAAGATGCCTTGATTTCTGGTTGCTTTTTGTAGCTGTGAAATGTTTTGTGTTGTTCTGTGGAATCAAGGCCAGATCTCGGGGCAGAGGGGAATAATGCATTGTCCTGCCCTAAATATGATGAGAAAAAGATGTTCTCTTTAACAGGAGTGACAAGCTAAGGCATTGCCAAATTATAAGTCACAACAGCCTCAGATGATTGACAATAGTAAAGTATGTTGACAGCTTTATTCCTCAACTTCTGGACAATTGTAACAATAGCATCTCTATCCTTTTATGAACATGGTTCTCTTATCAGGCAGATTCTATTTATTCCTTCCTATTCATGTAGCATAGTTTAGTAATTAGAAAAGACCGATGTGCACCCTCATGAGCAAATTTGTGCTCGTGCTAAGCACCCAGCTTCCAAATGCATAAAGCCCTGTACAATGTAGGTGTGTTAATGGGCAACCTAATGAGTATTGAATTGAAGTGATTAGTGGGCTAACATCAAGGTATCATTAATCTTTAAAAGCTGTAACATTCAAATAGCACAGATGTATTTATTTAGAAAGATAATTTTTATTTTTCACATATAAAAATATTTAAGTATTTACAATTATATACATTTCTAGGCATCTTTACCTAGTAATGAAGATGAAATGGGACAGGACAACACTAAGTTTCAGCAGCTATCAGGACAAGTATGGTTATAAAAACTTCTACTACTGTTCAATGTTTTAATCAGATGAAATTCAGTTAATAAAAATTTGGCATTGCAAATACATTAAATATCATTTCCTTATTATAGATTGTATTGTAAAAACCACCGAAAGGCTTTTTATATAGGCATAGAGATAGAGACCATATAACAAGCAACTTTTAAAAACAAATGTTACTACCCCCAACTTAATAAAAATCCACTGTGGTCTATTTGTTAAGTCAAGGTTGCCACATAGTTTCCATGTAAATGTAGAAGCAATTTAAAAATTCTAAACATCCTCCTAAAAAGGGGAGAAGAGGACCTCTGAAAAAATATATTTAAAATTCATTTTTTTTTTAAAAAAACCACTGCATTTTTTAAATTAGACAACCACAACTTTCACATTCACTCCTCTTCTGAACCTACTAGCAAAATACGAGACTCTAGCTAGAATTTGTATCAGGAAAATTATAGCCTCCGTAAATTCTGTTTGCTTTTTTTGCTGCAAGGAAGAGGTCCTAGTCTGAAAGATGTTTTTACTGGCATTCCAATGATGCAACAATCCTTGGCACTATGGTAGCTGCACATGCACTTTGTGCAAAAGTCAAAACCACAGCTTTCTCGGACACACGTTGCCCTTTGCAGATGGGAATCATATTTTGCAGGGGAACCACAGCGATGGCAAACTTTCAGACTCTCAGTATTCTTCAAAGTCTTTGCAACCTAAAAAACAAAAACCATAATCCAGCATTTATTTTGAAGTTATTTTTTTTAACCACTCTCCTGGAATGACCATATGAAACACGTTTTAAAAATTCCAAGAGATGGGTTCACAATGCACTGTCCTTGTTTAGTGACCAATCTGTTTGTGATTTTCTCAATAGGTAAAATGACTCCTAACAAACATGTGATTGAGAAGATCATTGGTTGTTGCCACCTCAGGAAATGAGGTTTTCTTGTACAATGCTTTCTGCCTGATCTATTTTTCCCCTATCACAAGATAGAGATTGCCTAAACAGGCTACAGCTTCCTGAATTGCCTTTTTCCGTAACATAGTACTTTCTTAAAAAGCCCCTAACTTCAAGCTAACAAACTCAGTTCTGTGATCTTAAATTAGTAGATTAGAAGTCTCTAGCAAGCTGGCCTTGCTGCTTCAAACTGACCAAAGCACAATCAGTTTCACACTGGAAGCTTTTGTTGTTGGGCACATGGAATTTGGCTGTAAATAATGCAATGGTAAATACTCTATTGAGCCCTGGAAGTACAGTAGTTAAAATATAGCATGGCAGGCAAAAATATTAATCCTGACAGAAGTGAACATTGACTCAGCCTTCCAAAACCATAGATTGGTAAAATGAGGACCCAGATTTTGGGAGCAATTTGCAAATAATGCTTTTACATTGTAAACCGCCCAGAGAAAATGCTGTAAAGCACTATAGGGTGGTATATAAGTCTAAATGTTATTGCTATTGGTTCGGAAATGATTTCTTTATTATTGTCTTATTTGCAAATGGTCACTAGCTATGGTAGTCCCTAAAAGTGGATTATTGATTCAATAATTGACTGTTGTGAAATGTAATTATTTAATAAATGTATATGCTACTCAACTCCCAGAGATTCTGGGCAATTTACAAATTGTTTAAAACATTAAAATTAAGAATTGGTGCAACCTCTTGCCTATGTTGCCAATGATTTGATTGACTCATTCAAACTAATTTTATTATTACATGTTAATCAGTGGATATCAAAGGTTTGCAAACTTTGTCATAGTAAAACTCCCTGCTACGAGCCTGCTCAGAGGCATAGTCAAATTTTTCTCCTGCCTTTGAGTTTGCTTATGCTCCAAAAGATTCTGCAGCTAAGGCTGACAATCTTAACAACTGGTTACAGTATATTAAATCAAGATTAAAATATTTGTGGATTACCTCAGAAAATTGTGAATGCCGGCTGAAAGAAGAGGTCTGAGCGTTTGCTTTCATTCGGGATGTTTTTTTAGAAAAGTTGATTTGTTTAGGTGCTACTTTCTGAATATACATTAATGGTTCACGATGGAGGGCATACTCCCTTGTATCACACTGTTTGGCAGCTACTGTGTTGCTATTCTGAAGAGAAAATACAATTTTAATAAACAATTAATATCATTAAACAATGGTTTGCTTCTGTCTGAAAATACAATAATTCATTACGATACTTGAACATAACACATTTTCATCTCTCCATATGCTGTACAGTAAATAGGCCTTTCAGAAATAACTGAGGAATTGAACACTTAACTAATTTTTTCCCAGAAAGTCTGTTTTCTGTTTGTCATAAAATTAACCTATGTTATAGAATTTAAAGTGGTTTCTTATTTTAGCTTTTTTATTCAAAGCCAGTCACTCAACCTCTAACCAATCATAGTTTGGGACCACTTGTTACATATTGTCTGCTCATTAAACCTTCAGAGAAAGGGATTGTGTAGACAGTAATGTTTGGAGAAAGCAAGTCTCCAGGAAGATCTCCCTCATGTTTTTTTTTGCAAGTTTATTTTCTTGCACATTATATTTAAGTTTTTAAAAATATCTACATACAAACATTAAATTTCCGTGACATATTAGTTGAATTATTTCTACTGTTTACAAACAAACTGCACATTTAAACTCTTACATCCTGCGGTATGGTTTACAGGGATTTTGTTTATAAAAAAATCAAGTCTCTTTGATAAAGATAGAGAAGCACTAGACCCGGGATAACGAACCTATGGCACACGTGCTACAGATGGCATGTGGAACCATTTGTCAGGGCACGCGAGTGCACGCTGGCAAGCTGAGTTCAGCCTTTTTAAAAGCAATTTTTCGCCCTCCCCAGGCTTTGATTTCCAGGTTGCTTGTAGAGCCGATTTTAGCCTTCTGGAGCATTCAGCCCTTAGGAGGCTTTCCTGATGGTCCCTGAAGGCTCCAGAGGACTAAAAACGGCCCTATGAGCAAACCGGATGTGACTTCCTGTTTACTCATAGGATCATTTTTTGTCCTCCGGGCAGGCCAGGGGAGGCTGTTTTCGCCCTCCCCAGGGCGAAGCCTGTAGAGCGCAAAAACATGCAAAAATTGGGGGGGGGGGTGTTCGTGCCTGTCATGCGCCCTGGGGTGTATGTTGCTCAGTGCATTATGGGTGCAGCACGCCTGCGCATGATCCCCTGCACTCCCCCCGCTTATGGCACGCGAGCCAAAAAAGGTTCGCCATCACTGCACTAGACTTACCAAACTGAGTTTTAGTGCTTTGTTATACATCTGAAAAGCCCACTTGTCACCAAGAAGAATTTTCTTCCATGTAACGCTAACTTTAGCCATGCTGTTGTGGAAAGAAAACCCATAGTTAAAATCAGACAGCATTCTAATTATTACTTAACAAAAACCATAGAAATTTTCAATACACATATAACAAATATAGCCCTTTAAAAAAACACTATCCAGTTTATTGTTTCAGTGGACTTGCCTCCTTATAGAAAAGTATCAAGTAGAGCAGGGCTGTCAAACTCCCAGTCCATGGGCCAAATGTGTCACATGCTGGCGATACCCATGCCTGGTTTAGTCAAGGGGAAAAAGTCCCAATGTCACATGACGCCATGAGTTTGACACCCCTGAACTAGAGCGATATAGGCTATCCTTTTCTGAAAGGGTTTCCATTTCATTAAAATATAGAAAAGAAAAATGCTAAAAAAATTCATTGCTTAACCTTTAGGAATACATTTTCTTTCGTCCCAACAATAACTTCGTGAGTTAATCTAAAGTTCATCCTAGTAGATATGCAAAGGTCAGAATTATCTTCAGTACTTTTTTAGCCCTAATGATATAACAAGAAAAAAATGCTTACATAGTTATTTCACATGAGCAAACAGCTCATGCTGTAAGGTATATGGAAATCTTGCTCCATTTATGACATACATTTTTGAATATAGTTTCAGTCTCCTTGTGAAGTATTTCCACATAATGAAACATAGCATTTTTCTTCAGGAAAACATATTGTGGGTTTTATGAAAATCTTTAAATTTAATACAGTATAGCTTAGCCTATATTTATTTTGAAAAGGGAAAACACATCATTGTGAACTTACTTTATCAAGTCTGTAGAGTTAAGATGCATTAAGATGTTTGCTAACAGATGTCTGAATTTCCCATGAAATAATTCTCCAAGAATATCTAGCTTATCTAATCCCATTTTTTTGCCAATCAGATTCACAAATTCCATTTTCCTTGAAGTCAATTTATCTAAGAAAAGGGCCCATGACTTTGGATTCCGTTTGTTAGTTTTTTTCAAAGTTGAGCAGACAAGTTCTTCAAAATGGAGGACTGGTAGTAAATTCTTCCTTGGACTGAAACTATGATTTGGTATATTGTTGATATTCCCTGCTAATAGCACACTGTCATCATTATCACTGGGTTTGTGCTGAATACCCAACAAAGAGGAGTATCCACTGTCGTTTTCATTGTCAATTTCATTGGTGCTCTCAATATGCCCCCATGATACTTTTTGGTTTTCTTTATTATGCATAAGCTTTTCTCCACTTTTGAGGTTAAAACTCTTGGAACTTCCATGATGCAGGTCACCATAGAAGAGCTTTTCTTTGGTATAGCCTTTGTATTTTTCATTGTAACTCTCAGGCTCTTCTGGTGTTGCTTCTGTTCCAGTTAGTTTTAATGGTGAAGATCCACAGTATACATGGGTATAATTAAAATCACGTTTCATTTTCAATGATTAGGGTAGCTTTTCAAATGTTCCCTGAAATTAAGAAATATATATTAGTCCAAATCATAATTTTAATCTAGAGGAAAGTAAAGTAAAGAGGTTTTTTAAAAAACAAAATCAACAAATTGTTGCCTTCATTTTAATAATTTTTGATTATTTTGTTGATGATTGTAAATAGCATTGTGGAAATGTGGCATTCTATAGAAATGATTAATACAATTGACAAGGTATTGACCTGAGACAAAACAAGAAAATAATACTGTTTTATTCTGCATGTAACTCAGTAAGATTTCCATACCGACATTTCAACATAACTCAAATTAAAGATGGCAATAAATATGGTATGTTTATCACAAATTTAATTAGAGGAACTTAAAACACACATTGTTGGTATACAATAAGTAGTTAATAAATCTTAAGGATTGTGAATTTTTCTAGCCATTCTGTAGCAGTGGTTTTCCTGCACTGGCAAGGTGTTAGCAAATCACATCTGCTTAAAGACTCTGAATTTGGTCAGCCATTTTTCAGACTCTGTAACAGTGGTTTTCCTGTATGGGCAAGATTGAATAGTCTTTGATCTACTTTTTAAATCAGAACACATGACACTAACTTTGTCTAACCCTTTTCAACAACCTTTATTGTGCTGAAAATTCTGCTTCAGTAAAGTTAGTAGACAATTTTCTTTTACTCCAAAATACAAAGTAAGGACTTTTCTGAAGGAAGCTAGCAATGCAATTTAGATCTTTTTCCATATAGCTGGATTTGGCAGACTCCAATTAGGCATGAATAACTCCCATTCACATAATTTTCTCTCCCTGTGTAGGGCTGTGTAGATGTGGAGGTTACACAAGGGATGAATATAGGGAAGAAAAACGACCTTACTAAATCTGCTAATGGAAGCCATTCCAGAAGTATTTAATAGATTCTACACATTTAGAATATCATTCAGTGAATTTGAAAAAGATCAATTGCAGGTATTATTTATGGATAATATAATGCAGCCGCCACCCAGGATATGGTATCTGGTTCTAACCTAGTTACACTGCCTTCAGATATGTGAGACAATGAAGTCTGTCAGTTTCAGAACCATGTTTGAAACCTACTGAATTGCACAACCAGTGCATGGCAAGAGCTATTTAAAGACATGTGCTTTGAGTGAAAAAGGTATCATACATTATTAATCATGGTGGATGAGAATACCCAGATTTCAAGGAGTTAAAAAGAAAACTGGGGAGCCATAAAGGTACTTTGAAAGCTTTATTTTATTATTAAAGGATTATTGGTAAGGAAACCAGAAAGGACAGCACATTTCAGAATTGATTGCAAACACCTAGGCTGGGCATATAACCAAATCCAGTGCTTACTTTTGGTTTAAGTACCACCCCCTCAGTGTGTGTGTGTGTGTGTGTGTGTGTGTGTGTATGTATGTGTGTGTGTGTGTATATATATATATATAATGTGTGTGTGTGTGTATATGTATGTGTGTGTGTATATATATATATATAATGTGTGTGTGTGTGTATATGTATGTGTGTG